CCGGGACCCGATAGAGCCCTGATGTAACCCATCAAAGAACCCTTCCGGGTAATTACACGTTTTAGGGTTTAGGGACATAGGATTCTATAAACCCTAAACCCTTACTATAAAAAGGGTTCCTTCAAAGGAATTCTTTCAATGAGACTCAACCAGGCCTCCGTCTGGGGCACATACCCAAGAGTCGCTCATTGCCCGTCGGCTCGGTGTTGGCTTCCGGGACCGGCAAAGAAGCGATCGAAATTAGGGTCCCTTTTAGGGTCCTTTGTATAAGGCTGCCATACGACATTGTGGACCTAAAACGGATCAAACAACAAGCGCTGACAAGGTTTTCGGTTTTAGGGTTTAGGGTTTGCAGGGTTAAGTTTGGGTGGAGGGATGAAACAACGAAGGCTTAGGATTTGGGGGACTGTATGCTGAAGGCTTCGACATGCTTCTACCAGTGCCCTAGATTTAAGACTCAGATTCAAGCATTTTAGGAATTTGGGCTTTTATTTAGGGGCCGCAAAACAGGAGTTCAGGGTTCAGGAACTCGGACTGAAAACTGGCATCGTCCGGTCGCGCCTGGTCGTCCCAAAGCTTGCATGCAACAGAAGTGTCCCCGCAGCAAACCTCAAGACGCCCACCATTCTAAACAGCCCAAAGCCGCAAACCCTCAACACAAGCATCAAACTCACTCCTCAAACCACATCAACTCTCGGGCCGACGTTGCTGGGTTTCTTTCTCCAGGAGCCTAGCGCGGCCGGAGTCCCTCACCGAGGCCGCAGAGGCAAAGGCTTCGAGGAGTGTTCGGGATCGGCACAGTTCGCTGTTTATATCAGACTTCTGGGTTCAGGGTTTAGGCTTTGGGACTTTACTTGTTCCTCGGGTTTTACGGGGTTTGCAAATTTGACAAAAGAACTCACAGTTACCCGGTGTGGTTCGGGCTTTATACACTTAGCAGTAGCATTTCGACAGTTGAGGTTCAGCTTGTCTGCTTCAAATCCAATACCCTTAACCCCCCAAGGAGTTTCGCCCCGCAGCCTACACTCAAACCCTAAACTCTAAAACCCCCAACCCCAAGGCCTAAGCCCCCTGAGTCTCTGTGAAGCCTTGCTTGCCTGCTGCGAGCGCGAGAGTCGAAACCTCAGCTCGGGGCAATAGAGGCAGGAGTTTGGGAGACTGTCGATCTTAGACATACTTGGGAAACCTCAGGGGTACCATGACGAGTCGCCCAGAACCCGTTACAGAAGCCGTTGCGCAAGCCCTGCAAAGCTTCATCATTGATGACACCACCCGGTACCAACCCTTGAAGAGATGAAGTCTTATAGAACAGACCCTAAACCGTAAACCCTAAACTCTAAACCCCTAAACCCTAAACCACCCCTTGTTTTTCTCCACGGGATTTTTCTGACCTTTGATTGAAAATGCCAGGCCGCAGGTCTGACCCCGGCTGCACTGGCGGATCCCGCTGGGCCAAGGCTGGATTTGGGAGAGGAGCGGAGAGGCAGGGGTGATAAATAGATCGTTTGACATAGTATATTGCATTATATCGTGTCAACATACATTCTTATAATATGTTATGTGTTATATTCCGTTTTTTATATTCACTTAACATTATATACTGTATTATATGATACTCTGTGTGTGTATATATATATATAGATGTGTGTGTGTGTGTTTGTGTGTGTGTAGATGATACTATGTCAGATTATACTCACATATTAATGATAATGTAGTATGTTATACCCGATAATGTATAGGGAGAGAAACGGAGGGAGAGAGAGCTGTGCTTGGAAGGATCATGACCTCCTGCGGCTCGGGTCTGACTGCCTGCGTCGTCGGACTGGCACTGCCTCCTCCTCGCATTCGGCAATTTCCGGGTTTAGGGTTTTAGGGTTTGGGGTTTAGCGAGTTTGGCATACACTGCAAGTCCGTGCTTAAAAAAGCGAGTTTAGGGATTCGGGTGTAGGGGTTCAGGGTGTTGGGCCCCAGGAGATGCTGAGAAGCTGCGACATGATCCCTTGCAATAATACAGTACCCACCTCAGAAGAGTTGAAAGAGCTAGAACGGGCTCGACGTAACAGGCAGAAGCAAGAACGCAGTACGGGTTCAAGCACAAATTAATCTTTTGCGAGTGTGTGTGTGTGAGAGAGAGCGCGTCTTTGGCTGTGCGCATTTCGTGGAAATACATGGTTATAGCATCACCCGTCAGAAGTCACTCCTCGGGGAAGGGCTGAAGACGATTCCTTTGGTGTTAAGTTCGGAAAGCTATAGGACCCGGAGGCATATTAATGCAGGAATCCTCGGGAACATCCTTCAGCACCCGACGGCCTACAAAAATCCGCAATGACATGGGTCCCAGGGAGCAGCTTTACATCTTGATCAGCGGGCTTTGTGCATCAGACCGAAAGGTTCACAAGAGTTCGAACCACCAGTGTCTCGGGTTCGAAAGTTTGGGTTTTAAGGCTTTTGCTCGGTCCCTCCGCGTCCTCGCACTCTCAACCTGTCCGAGGCACCAGATGGGTGGGACGCTGAGTTTGGGATTTGGGTGGGGTCGTCAATGCTCGTAGAGAGACAGCACAGATGATTGAGGGAACCCGACCCCCTCATGAATCCTACCAACCCCATGCCCCAAAAGAAGCGACAGCGGTTGCTACTGTGATTCTTGAGCCGTAATTCTCCTAAACCCTAAGCCGCCCTCCATTCCATTTTATAGAAGAGTTTCCCAAGGGTGACATTCGAGGTCACTCGTTTTGGGACGAGGGTTTGGAATGTAGATTTACAGGTTTTGAGGCTTCGGGACTTGATTAATGACTCAATATGCCGGGGGCTTTTAATTGAATCTATACTTCGCGAAACGTATCAGACACTGGCAAGCAAACCCTAAACACTACATGACACAGGGATCAGATGAATATGTGGGGATTCAGGATATGGAGCTTTCAGGATTTGGGCGTTTCAGGGTGCCGGGTCAGGTATTTGGAGCAGGGTTTAAAGGTTTAGGGTTTAGGTTTCAGTGCTCAGGGCTCTAATAGGGTTTAGGAGTTTAGGGATTTTGTGGCCGGAAGGTTGAAGGTCTTTCGCAGCGGTGCAGCAGCAGCAGTCGAGGTCCTTCAGCCACCCTTGGTATTGTGCAGCACCCATTTTTCAAGAGCTTCAAGGTTTGGCGGTGTTGAAAAGGAGTATAGGGTTTAGCAATTTAGCAGTTAACATGTTTCTGCCTTAAGGCCACAAAATCTAAACCCCTAAGTCCGTAAATTTATGGCTGGATTCTCCAGGCATGCCCTTGACACGATGGACCGTCTACGACGGCTCCTGGGCAGAGTGGGGAGCTTTTCCGGAGACCGGGAAGAAACCAGGGTTCAGAGTTGAGGATAGCGACTTGCATTTTCCGAAAGCTCGAGGATTCCGGATCTACGGCTATTCGCAGTACTTCTCCGGATTGTCATTTCGCCTTTTCTTGCCTCGAGTTGAAGACGACCTTCGCTTCTCTCTACCTCTCAAGCACAGAAGCCTGAATATCTACTGCAATATCAAATACTATATCAGACTGTATATATCCATTAGGGTTCCTTAATATAGAGTTAAAGCAGAATAGACAGCAAAGCCCTCTTCAGTGATCGGAGTCATAAACTCAACGACCCAGGGGGAAAAAAAGGCCGGACATCGTGTGCCTTAGGGGCCTTCATACTTAGAATTGGGTTCCTTTGGGTTGCGTATAATTTAATTAATGGAGTATACCAAAGCATACCCCTTAACCCTATTCTAATTATTATAAGGTTCCTAGGTTCCTACAGTACAGTCCAATCGCACTCCGCATGGCGTTGCCTGGCCTGTGGCTCGTTGATTGAGACCTAACCCTACAGAGGCGATTCTTCATAAAATGTGACTGTACAGACCTACATACATACATACATACATACATACGAGGCTTTGACTTCAACCCAGAACCCTGAAAACCTTCAGACAGCCTCGAACCCGAAACCGCAGGACACCCCTGTGGTTCGACGATCCCCGGATGGGGGTGAGGAGCCGGTGGGACCTCTGGAGGAGTAGCCTCGTCCGCCTGAAGACCGTGTAGTTATTGATTGACACGGCTATGGGGCTCTATATTGGAACTTAGATGTACCACTCTAATGCTCTTGGCGTTCTGGATCCTCGGACTTGGGATGAAGAGTTCAGAAAATGAACAACGTTAAATTATCAGTTAGTAGAAGCCCTATATGGTCTCTTTCTCTCTATCATATGCGGATTTCATGTCCCAAGCTTCCATGCCGTATCAGGGCTCGGGGTTTAGGGAGGTCCCGACAGTGTTGCAGAGACGTGCCGACGAGCCTTCGGTGACTGCCCACTTGTGCCGAAAAAGGCGTGCGATGCGTTGAGGCTGAGAGCCATTTGCGTTCTGCGGTAGTGTCCTGGAAGTGCAGCAGAGTTCGAGTTCCCAGTCCTTCTCCAACCCGGCAAGTTCGAGTCGACGCACCACTGCATGTCTGTGCACTCAAGCGTGGGAGCTCAAATCCCAAAGCATGGTAGCAGATCCCTAGACACCATTCGCAAGGACCTGGCAGGTTGGATTGTTGTACTCCTCGTCCCAGCCCCAGTCCTCTACCCTGGCAGAATACTGCCCATTTGCAAGACAGCTCCTCTCCACTTAGGGTGTGTTTGGTTTTTCAGAGTTTAGCTCATGAACCCTCCACGCCCAAGCCCGGAAGAAGGGTGAGCACTAAACCCTAAACCCTAAACCGTGGCAAGAAGCAGACCTTATAGGAGACTGGGAAGGGCAGGATGCCGCTGAGGATGCAAGCTCTGAGGCCACCGGCTTTGTCGCCCTAGCTGCCTGCATTGCTTTGTGCCAGGTGCCACGTAGCTTTCCGGGCAGAAGTCATTTCTACTTGTTATGGGCTAGATAGACTCTCTAGATCTGCCCGTGCACTGGCAGATGGTCATAGGAGGCCGTGAAGCTGCTCTCGGCTCTCGCAGCGTGCGTTGCCGAGCGAGTAGGCGCACGTATTTTTCGTGCCATGCTAGCGATTTGCGTTGTCTGGCAATTCATATGGTGCCTGTGTCAAGCTGTGCGCGACACAACGGCTGACACTCACCTCGTCAGCACCGCGCCGGCGAATGACGGGGATCACTGCCCCAGTGCAACTCCGAGCCCCGGCTTTAGGGTTGTGGGCTCAGAGTTCAGGGGCTATTATAACGACAATTTATCAATTACTCTCTACTCCCCGACCTATATCGGTTATATAGTAATAGTAATAAGAATATCGGGGCTTCGGAGTTCGAGTGCATACAATTTACTGGATGTGAGCCCACGGAGCTCTGTCTCACAGTTGTTTCTTTGTGAAGTCTGCCCTTACTACACACCTTTGGCAATTCGTGCTGTCGACAGGAGTGGCCTGGACCTGCGCTCGCTGGCGTTGGAAGGGCCGGACTTCACCTTCATGAAATCTCGGGAGTTCTTTCTGTCCAAGACTGCTTCCTGCGATGATCCCATGCATGACGTGGAGCTTGTGAAGGCCCGGGGATTGTAGAACCGGGGTTCGGGAGTACAGCTCGGCACCGGCGGCCGGGCTGGCGATTTCCGCAGGTTTCGAAGGGGGTTGTTGTGCTGCTGCGAGGTGAAGAAGGACACCAACGCCAAGCGCGCTCAGCTTGCGCAACGCTTCCGCGTCAAGCAGGTGAAGACAGTGTTGCAGTCTGCGGTCCAAAACAAGCTTTCTACCAAGACCTTCCAGGAAGCGCTGATGGGAGTTCCGGGGGAGGAGGAGCAGAGGCCAGCGGTGGAGCTCCATCTCTTCCCAGAGGACCCCAAAAAGGTGAACTCCTCCTGGCGGGCGCTCCTAGTGCCCACCACTCCAAAGGCCTTCGGCACGTGGTACTTATGTCAGCCAGCACCATCTTCTCCACGCTGCATTGCGAGGTTGCCTTTCGAAGCATTACCCTTTCACCCAAGCTCCATGCTTGGTGGCTGGTATTCAGTCCTCGATCGCTATAACTCGTCCCCAGCCCTGCTTATCTCCCTCATGGAAGCCGTCCTGGCTTGTGGTTCCGTTTTGCTCTCGGTTTTGGCCATCTCTGCCGTCTATGTCCTGGTAAGGGGCCGTGGAGCCTCAAAAGGCGATGGTGGGGAAGACTCCGAGCCCGAGGATTCGTTGATGGCGAAGACGAACTGGTCGTATCCTTGTAACTTCCACTTGACGCAGCATGCCCAGCTGCGCCACGGCTTATTAAACAGCGTTTTGCCATCGCTGTGTCTGTCGCTAGCACGATGCGATTCGCATAAGTTCGCTTGACGTCATGCTTTCTTCCATGATCGTCATGAACTAGTTGTAGAATCGTAGAATTGTGTCGATGAGTCCATGCAAGCATGTTTTGATCAACCACCCCGAGGTTCACACGCGATAGTATGCTGTGGGTGAGGTTACTTGTAATGCCGCCAGATTCAACTTCCATTCAAGCTGCGTAGTTGCTGGGTCAAAAGCTTGAGAAGAAGCCTCAACATCCCCCTAAAACAGTGTTCCCCGCAGTGGTCTTTGCACGAATTTCTTCAACCCGGTTACATAATGCCTACTGCTCCCTAAACCTTGACCCTCGTGTTGTCCGACTGCGAGCCAAGTGCCAAGAGACCTCGTCTGTCGTCTGCCTGTGTCCGAGTTGCGAGAGCGATGCCCGAACCCTACACCCTGAATCTATGGGAATCTTGTGTCAGGCTTGACTCGCAAGGAAGTTTCACTCAAACAGACCTCGAACCACATGCCGCCTGGAGTGTCCGAGTGTGACTGCTGAAACCTTTAATCCAGGTATCAAGAAAGTGGCGAGAAGGCTCAAGCCGATCCACTGGATGCTGGAAGCCGCGTGGTCGTGAAGGAAGTACAGAGACTCAGACCCAAGCAAAGATAGGAACAAACATACAATACCTGGCATTCAGCATGCCGTTCAAGAAGATCAAGACAAGTTGTGAATCAAAACCGGAGTGCAACAGTCAGACAGACGGATGTGATGAGCAGGGGCCGAATCCAAATAGCAATCATCCTCGTCAAAACTCAAGGCGACCATTGCACACTGGGCATCCGAGGAAGGGGAACGTGTCGCTGTCCCTGATCTCCTTGGCTTGTGGAGGCGACGTGGCGGACGTCTTTTGGACGCTGCTGGGCAAGCCCAAGGAGAAGCTTTGGGGACGGGTGGAATCACCTGCTGGCTGGCTACTCCTTGCCAAGGCCCAAGAGCATTATACTGTCTATCTATCTACCTACGTATACATGTACGTTTCTATCTACATAAACTAAATACAGCTTATCAACACACAAACCTGTATACAGACACGAACATGAAGTAAGTATGTAAGTAAGTACAGCAAGTAAGTAAGTATGTAAGTAAGTAAGTACATAAATGTGTTGGCGTGTATGTGTGTGTGTGTATGTATTATTTAGTGGTGTGTATACATACATACATATATACATATATACATACGTATGTACATATATATATATATGTATGTCTATATGTACATGTGCATCCATACCGTGCTCATACTCAATCGAACTTTCGTCGCTGTTTGCCGTTCTCTTGATGCTTCCTCTGCTGTCGTTGCTGGATCTCTCTATCGTCCTCGGTGGCGTCACGTCTGTCACAATGCGTCGTGCTGTTTGTCACCCACCCTCTTGGGATCCCCGGCAAGTTTCTACCGTGGCGGCGCCCTGAACAGGAAGGCGACGCCATGCCGCGAGTGGTGATGGCCGAGGACAAACCAAGTGTGATTTTTTCAACACATCCGGAGTTGTTGCCTTCAGTGCCTGTGCTTCTCAGAAGTAGCCTCGTGATGCTGTCAGTGCATGTGTCATCTCAGTGGATTTTGGTCGAGTTCTTCACATCGATGTATTCCTTTCCCGCGATGATGCTTCTGATTTTTGGGACGCTGGCTACGCACCTCTTGGTAATGCTGGAGCGCTACCAGACCTGTGCGCTGGCCGTGCAGTATGATCAGGTCCTGCAGAAAAAGCGTCGCCTGCTGCAACTGCCCGCAACACACCTGATGCCTCTCGGGATTTTCGTGGTGCTCCAGGCTGCCATACTGACCATCATTATCGCTAAGCTAGCAACTGGTTCTGGCGATTCTCGCAAGCAGCTTGTGTCTGAGCTGTGCTTCCTGCTTGGCCTGGCGATGCATGGGAAAGCCATGTACGACAGTGGTGCTGCGCGACGGAAGTGGCGGGAGCCACAGCTGGCGAGCCAAGAGGTATACACAGCCACATTGGAAGCGATGCAGAGCACTGTCGAGCATCCCGCAAGACTCTCCAGAAAGAGAGGCCAGAGCCTGACCGTGCTTCGAGTTGTGACGAGCGCAGTCGTCGTCATAGCCTTGATGCTCGTTGCGCGTGTCACGCTGGACGTCCTTCAGCTGCGAGGGGAACTCGTAGACTATGGCCTCACGAGAGGGAGGCTGATCTATCCTTCTGGCAGCTCCGCCTTCCACAACACGCTGCTGCTGGACCAGAATGCCGATTCCTTTACCGTGGACCTGCGCCTCGGTGAGTTCACGCGCGGTGCGGAGATCAAGCTCGTACATCCCTTCGTCACCAAGGAGGACCGGGACAGAAGCAATGGCTTCAGCTTGTAGAGAGGATCATATTCTATTGGTATTCTATTGGTCCGTGTTAGTATATAGCGGTACTGCAGCAGCATGTCAAGATTATGGTTTCTTCTTGGTGCTCCTTCCTGTAAGATGATCTTTTGTGTGTGTGTGTGTCAAAACTATGTGCCATATTATCTCATACCTGCAGTTCTTCAATCATGCGTAGAGCTGTTTCCTGAGCTGCAGGATCGCGGATCTGTTTTCCTAAATGCCTCGGGTGAACAGCAGCTCTCGCTTCCCAGCGGTCCCCTTTACTCTCGGCTCTCGCTCCTGGCGGTCGGCGACTACGTCAACACAACCTATGTCATTCACATCCTCCGCGTGGGCGAAGCCATCTCCTTAGGCCTCTCTGGCAGTTTCAGCGAGGCCAAGTACCCGGATCTGGCAGGGATCGTTTTTCGGGAGGAGCGCCGGCTCCAGTACCAGTTGCGGCACCGCGTGTGGCACGTGCCAGACATCGACTTCTCAGGGAATATCACCTTGCTTGTCAACATGACCTCCTTAGTCTTTGCACCCATTGTCTCCGATGCCTTCGGCTCCCAGGACGAGTGAGTCCAGAACCTGTATGTATGCACTAGTGTGCTTCTTGTAGTCATTGTATATATATATATACAATATTTTTATAATATGTAGATATATATATATATACATATATATATGTGTAGAAATACACATATATATATATACATACATACATACATACATACATACATACATACATATATATATATATTATTTGTTTTATCAGTATTTAGGTCGTTTGGGTTGTCATTGTTGCCCTGCATCATCACGTGACATTGACGCCCTTTAATAGCGATAAGTCCTATTCCCGCCAAGAATGTCATTCAGGAGCAGGCCGGCAAGATTGCAGCTTCCATCCCACGACTTGCCGAGAGATGCGGCTTTGAGTCTGCAGGCACTTTCGCTTTTGGTTTCGGAGGCAGCAGGCGCTCAGGGCTCAGGTTCCGAAGTCGTGCATTTTCCGCCTGAACAACCAAACAACCCACGGACAGCCAGCAGCCTCCGAAAGTATTACGCCACGTGGCCAGCGGCAGCCGTCGTAGAATCAGCAGTAGTTAGTAGAGTAGTAGTAGTAGTAGTAGTAGTAGTAGTAGTTGAAGAGCATCATGAACGCGCTCTTCTGCCGAGGCTGCCATGAACTGCTGTCGTCTCCTCCGAAGAATAACTTCAACCTCGTGGAACGACCCCCGAAGGAATCCCGAAAACCATCAAGCACGGAGGACGGCTCTACGGATTTTTCACACGCACAACCGAAGAAGAGACCAAGAG